TTTTTGCTTATGTGGTGCTGAGAAATCGAACCCAGGGCCTCAGGCATGCAAGGCAAGCACTCTACCACTGAGCCACCTTCCCAGCCCGCACGCTCTGGTTCTTATGGAACAGATCGCTAGTCATTAGCTTTACTGCCCCTGAATCCTGCAAATAGCTGCTAATGTCCAGTCCTGGAGCTTGAACTCAGGGCCTGGGCACTGTCTCTTAGCTTCTTTTGCTCAAAGATAGTGCTCTACTACTTGAGCCACAGCGCCACTTCTTTTTTTTTTTTTTTTAAGTTTATTGGAGATAATAGTCTTATTCCTACCTGGGCTGGCTTCAAACAATGATCCTCACATTTTACCCTGCTGGGTAGCTTAGATTAAAGGCATGAGCCACCAATACCTGGCTGGGTTGCTATTAATTGTCTGTCTGGTTTTTGAAGGTCAAGTTAACAAATTCCAAAGGGCGAGACTTCTGTGGTGGTGTTCTCATACAGGAAGATTTTGTGCTGACAACAGCTAAGTGTTCTCTGCAACACAGAAATATTAGTGTGAAAGTGGGTAAGTACTTTTTCATCAATTTTTATTAAATTCATTTTCATTAAAAAATTATTTCAGGAGCTGGGAACCTTGCTTAGAGGTAGAGTGCTTGCCTAGCACGCACAAAACCCTGGGTTTGATTCCTCAGTACCACATAAACAGAAAAAACCGTAAAGTGGCACTGTAGCTCAAGTGATAAAGTGCCAGCCTTGAGCAAAAGCAGCTCAGGAACAGCACCCAGGCCCTGAGTTCAAGCCCCATGTGTGACCAGAAACAAAATATTTTATTAAGTGATCCTATTTAAGAGTAAAAAAATAAATCAGAGATTCAGCTCTGACACTGAGGTATAGCAGTGGGTAAGACAGATGTCTGGCTGAGAGGTTTGGGACCGAATTCCATCATGAGCTCAGAGCATGGCCCCGGCCTCATCTCCAGACTTGTCTGTACCTGCAAAACTTTTCTTGTCAGAGGTTGCAAGATTTCATAGCTTGCTAACCTGTTCTATAATGAATCTGAAAAATCTTTAAATACATATATTTTCACCTTCTACTCTAACTTTTGAGTCAACAAACTAACTTGAAAACATTTCCTGACAACCAGTTCTCAACGATTACTGTCTCCCTGGCCATTTCTCAAAACCCAGTGTTCCAAATCATGCACTCTGACTTCCAGACAGGGTAAGGGAGGCTTGGGAAGTGCTGGGATGGTTCTTCTCGTGATCTGCCTTCAACTCCCGCCAACACGGAAGGCCGAGTGTCTGCCCACGATTGTAGGTTGTGACCCAAGCAAGGAGCCACAGGCGATCAGAATCAAGCGTGCTCACGTGCACCTGTGGTACGAGGAGGAGTCAGGGCAGAATGATGTCTCCTTGCTAGAGCTTGAGCAGCCGGTGCCATGCCCAGCCTTGGGGCGCCCCATCTGCATACCTGAGAGAGATTTTGCTGAGCGGGTCCTCATCCCGGGGACACAAGGCCTTCTCAGTGGCTGGATCCTCAATGGCACTGACCCGGGCGCTCTGCCAGCTGGACTGCCAGTCACATATGTGGATGGGGAAGAGTGTGAGCAGGCCCTGAATGTGACTGTCACCACGCGGATCAGCTGCGAGCGAGGCGAGGTGATGCCGGGGCAGTGGCTGGAGGGAAGCACAGTCACCAGAGAGCACCGGGGCACCTGGTTTCTCACTGGGATCCTGGGCTCATCCCCAGCACCACCACCGGCCGGGCAGGCACACAGGTTCCTGCTCACTACCATCCCCCGGTACTCATTGTGGTTTACACAGACGATGAAGTAATGGAGACTCGGCCAGCCAGAAAGGACCCAACATGAGGTGGGAGTTCAAACTTCAGCTGCAACCATGAGGAGAGAGACTGACAGGGTGGCTGTCAGGAGTTGGGGCTTGTCCAGGCTCTCATGCCTATGTCACCTGGAACTGTTTATCTAAACATGGCTCTTAGGGGGAGAAATGAGATACAATAAACAAATCTGTTGGTCATAAACCAGCCCAGTTTCTGAAATTTGCTTTCCAAGTCTAAGCTGCGTGCTCATAAATGCTCTGCAGGCCAGCAGTGTCTCAGCTGGAAGCTATCCACTGGGCTCTCTGCGGCCCTCTGAGCTGAGCTGCTGCTCTCCCAGGGGCCCGCAAAGGGACATGGGGAGGTGGCCTCCTGACCCTTCTTAGGCCTTCAAGAGAGCCTCCAACTGCAACACGGGGCACAGGCCCACGCTCCATATGCCCACCGGGCACAGACTTGTGAGCAAAGCAAGGAGAACAGCACTGCAAGCCAGCGACATTTCCACAGCAGGACACTGACGCAGGCACTGACGGAGGCCCATGCATGCAGGGTGAGGACACTGACCGAGACTTCATCTCCCACAGGGCGAGCTCTGCACTCTGCCACTGTTCAGGACAGGGTCTGCTTTCTCCACCAGGAGGGACAAGCAGTTAACATTTCCTCAGCAGAAAACACGCACACTCCAAGCCACTGGTGCCACAGGTGACTCCTACGAAAGCCCTGCAAGCAGCACTATCCCCAGTTCAGGGCTTCGAAGGGTGCAGTTGTACTGTGAGGTTCAGACCCAACAGGACAGCAGCCTTGTTCAAGGGGAGTGACAGCCACCCGAGCCTTGGAAGGGAGCATCCCCATGCAAGACCTGGCCTCAGGCTTCCAGCCTCCAGAACTGTGAGGAATCCATCCGTTATTTCAGCCTATGATAGTCTGTTACAAAGCCTGAGCAGACTAATACAGGCAAACTAAGATTTGGAACGTCCACATGAACAAAGTTCTTTTCTTAATATACTGAGTCAGGCTCCTGTCTGTAATCTCAATTGCCTAGAAAGTAAGACAGGAGAATCAAGGTTCATGGGTAGTCCAGGCCAAAATCTGAGGAGACCCCATGTCTTAGACCTATCTCAATGTTGTGCCTGTGATTCCAGTTACATTGGGAGACAGAGGTCTGAAGATCATGGTTTGCTCAGGCAAACATGAGACCCTTATCTGATTAAACAGCTCAAGTAAATGGGCGGGGACACTGTTGATGTGGCAGACCCTCCGCCCCATAAACACAAGGTCAAGTTCAAATCCCAGAGGCATGAAAGAAAAAAGTCTTAAGTTAACAAAGCATTTTAGTCACATGAAACATTCAAATTTAATGTATGAAAATAAACGTATCCTGGAAGATATAATAAATGTCATTATTATAAATTCAGAATACTTCTTTTAAGAAGGAAAAACTACAAACAGTTACAAAAGCCCGTCCATCAAGAGCACACGAAGGTGCAACTCCACCCCAGGAGCCCACTAGCACTGCAGGTGGCAGCAGCAGAGTTCGGAGGTCTCTGCATGCTGCCAGGCCCACACTGGTCACAGATGGCTGGTCAAGATGAGGGTGCAGACTTCAAGGTATTGGCATGCTGGTGACCTCAGCTCCGGTGGCCTCAGGAAAGCCCTCCAGATCCAGGCTGCAGAAAGGCTCTCCAGTGCCCTCCAGTGAAAGAATGCCCCGGTGGGCTCAGCACACAGTGGACAGAGGAGGGAATGGGTTCTGCTTGCTGACAACCAGCTTCTGATGCTGATGCGATATGTAGCCTTTGATGTGACCCTGGACAGAAAGAGAAGGTGGCCTATTGACAAGTCCATGTCTGACCTGTGTCGGAAGCTGGTGATTCAGTTATTTATTCCTGGGCATACAACATTCCTCCTCTACGTGCGTGTTGGGGGACAATGAAGAAAAACGTGTAGTTAACAAGGAAATGCGTATTCCACATATGATCTCCTCCCCGCCTTTCCCAGAGACATATCTCTGCATGGTATTTTCTGGGACAGAATTGGTTCTGTCAGAAATACCTCCACAAAGCTGAGTTTAAAGCCAGCCTGGACTACACAGTGACTTCTGTGTAGGACCTTCCCCCAGGCCAAGCCCTGGTCCTGTCAGCCACGGCCTGGGCGGCTGAGGAGAGGACGCACCATGTAGATCAGGTTGGCCAGGATGCACTGCACCTCATCAATGTCCACGTCCTCCACGCGCATGAACTTCAGGGCCACCAGAAAGGCGTCCAGAGACAGCTGGTGCGTTCTGAGCAGCAGATACCTGGAGGGAGGTGGAGGCCCAGCTGACAGGGTGCACTGCTCAAGGGCCAAGGGGCCGTGCTTGGTGGGAAATGAGCGCTTCTGACGAACCTGTGCCACCAGAGGCAGAAGCTTTCACTACGTACACCAAAGATAGACTCCCAAAATGAGAGCTATGAAAATGCATCTTACCTCTTTATTTTAAAAGGCCACTATACTATAGTACAAATAGAGCTTCCTAAACATGTACTGGATAGTTCATTCATCCTTAGGGGCCTCTCTTTCATGTTAAGAGCTGTGAAATCAGGATATATAGATTCAATTGGTCCTTAATATTGACGACAGACTACTTATGTCTGTAAACAGGCCTGTCTTATTCAGGGTCGAAGGTTGTATAAGAACAGGAGATGGAACGGCGGCCCACACTCACACTTTCTTGAAGAGGCTCCTATAAGTGATGATCTTGAGCTTCTCCAGGATGAGAAAGATGCCGCAGCGAATGAAGAAGGTCTCATGCTTTGCCAGGGCCTCATGGAGCAGCAGCAGGTTGCCCTCGCTGGGCCAGCAGGGAGACACAGGGAGGAGAGCACATTAACGTGGCTCGCACACCACACGTGTGCAACACACCGGCACACACCAAGCGTGAAGGAGGAAACCCACCTCACAGCCTTGGTCACCTCGGCGAACTGCATGAGGTGGTACTTTCTCAAGAGCTCAATTGTTGGCATGTGGCCCTGGGACAGAACGAAATGCTTTCATTTCAACACAACTGTCTCCAATAAAATCCTTACCAATGAATTATGTTAAAAAAAAAAAAGGGCAAGCCAAGTTTTTAATCAGTGGCTGAAAGAAGACTGAACACTTCCTAGTGCACCAGAAGTAACTTGGGTGCCCGGGTGCCACACAACTCGTTCAGTGGCTGCGACCTTGGTCACACCCTGGTGTCCCTCATCAGCACACAGGCAAGGTGGCCAGAGGGAGTGAGAAATCCTCCAGAGAACCTGACCCAGGCATAAGGGCTCATGCAGGGAAGGGGAGGGAGGCGTGGCACCGCTGCTCTCCATCATCGGCTAGGCTAGGCTGCCCTGTGAGGAATTCAACCCCGTGTGGAGACCAGTTTCGCTCACTCACTAGGTATTTAGGGAAAGCAAGGATTCAGGTTTACTTTCAAATTAAGGTGAGCACAGCTCCTGTGGAAAGGTCTGGAAAGCAGGCCATGCAGCAGTACTGCCCAGGAACTGGCACAGTGCACCCCTCTTAGGCACTGCTCACATGTAGCTCACACGTACCGCCTCCTCCCTCTGAGTCCTTAGAGCTCCAGAAATGACAGACGCACCACTCACCAGAAGCATCTTCACAGGGAGCAGGTATATCAGAATCATTCTCTTGTTCTTCTGACTGGAGCGGTGGCAGTGCTCGAAGGCAAAGGACAGGTACTCCTCAGCTGCAAGACAGACCACACATCAGGCGGGCCCACCTGACGCCCTCCACCACCCGGTCACATTCTGCCCTGAGCTCCCACAAAAGGCCAAAGCTAGCCAGGTGCCAGTGGCTCAAGCCAACACTCCTAACTCCTCAGCAGGCTGAGAACTGTTAAAGCCAGTCCAGACAGGACAGTCTGTGGAACTGTCTCCAACTAAACAGCAAAATGCCAGACTGAAGGTATAGCTCAAGTGGTTCAACACCAGCCACGAGCAAGCATGTTGTGGTGGACTGTAAAAACAGTACATGCTGCTTCCTTTTATGGCCCCCAAACAGGCAGCCCAATTTTGCTTCTGTCAGTAGTGATGCTTCTGAAGAAAAATTCACAGCCACCTGAAGAGGTCCACAGAGCAAAAGCGGCAGAAACTAACTTCTGTTGGGATTCTGATTTGCCAAAGTTCATCTGCCAAGCCATTATGGCTAGCATATCAAATTGGAAAACAAAACATATTACAGATGAAACTCCAGACCCATCTGAACCCCACCCACATAAGCATAGTAAAGAGAGCCCCCACCCATCAGTTAAACATGCAATCCAATCACCACATACTTGCTCATTACAATGACAATGAACTCTCCTGTTTTGTTTTGTACCTGTACTGAACTCAGAGCTGTTCAATCTCACTTGGCTTTTCTGCTCAAAGATGGTACTCTACAACCTGAGCCACACCTCTACTTGTGACTTTTTGGTAGTTAATTGGAGATGAATCTCATGGAATTTTCTTACCAGGGCTGGATGTGAATCTCAATCCTCAGATCTCAGCCTCCTAAATAGCTAGAATTACAGGTGTGAGCCACCAGTCCAGTGACGGTGCACTTATTTATGTGTAACACATTAGTTCTGATCTGGCAGCAGCTTTCAAAGGCGCCCCATTTCACACAGAACAGCTCAGGTTCAAAACACAAGAAATGTATGTGGTGCCGAGCATAATCTCGTCAGCTGCACAGCACAGGAGTTTAATGCATGCTCCTAGGACCTGTCAGGATGGGGCATGAAGGTGAAGAGCAGGCTGGTGCTGGACAGAGAGCCCAGTCCCCCAGACAGGGAGCCCCACTGACCCAAGCCTGGATCAAGAGCTCGGAGGGAAACAGGAGGTTTCTGTCCCCTGGGGCAGAAGCCACAGCAGCACTGTCTGTAGCGAACAGTACATTTGGACCTAATTGCAAAGGAAAGGATGCTCCAACTCAGCAGCACATTGTCTGCAGACCCTGCGGCCAAAGCAGCAGGCCCTGAGTCTGGGCC